CAGTGTTGGCTCAACGAGCCAATGCAGTCTATCAGCTCCTCTGAAAGAAAAATTACTGCTGGGAGAATGACAGTCATTGAAGATCCTGCAAGCAGCAGAGCTACCAAGCATAATATCTTTGACTACACTTCTTAGGAAATACTGCAAAATAGAGCGGTATTCACGCAATGTATTCCAAAACAGTTTTTGCAACTTTCTGTCCAGATGCAGATTCATGAGAATGGTGTATAATTGGCACTGCAGCTTACAGATTTATCCAAGGATAATGAAGGCCATTTGTATAGCTCCACATAGCTATATGGAAATGATTACTCTGTTAGTATCAGAACAATTTTTTTCTTCCTTAAAGGTGATTGTGTGGCTGCTGTTGCTATCTTGGGAAAGGTAATCAAGCATACCTGCTTTGGTTATGGCAACATATGACAAGCGTATTTTGGTGCTAGCCTTTATAATTCATTTTCACACAAATCAAGCAACTACCTGCAATATGACTCTCTTGCTTAAGAGGTGGCAATGGAAATCTATTGGCAGCTTATGTCTGTAAGGAAGACATTACGTTGGGATCAGCATGGACTTCTACAAAGGGACTGGATGCCACACCTGAATTTCTTCTCTGTGCCATGCCACTCCAGAGTTACGCATATGATGAAATGACGTATAGAGGATTTTTCGGAGAATGTTTCTCAAAGAAAAAAAATGTTGGTCTCTCTTAATTTTAGTTTCAGAATATTTCCAATAGAACTTTTGCAGTTATGGATTGAAATAAAATAGATTTTAAGCATTGCTTTAAATGCTGGGGAACAACAGACGTGCTGGCTGGCAGTTAACTGCCCCAGATGTTGTTTATAATCAGCTGAAAGTAAGCTCATAATCTAGGGGAATATTCAAATGAAAGTTTTAAGAAGAATAATTTTGAAAGTGATTCTGCCTCGTGTCATATTCAGACATCCATGTGGATATAGGTACAGTACTGGCCACAAATCTTTTTGTGGTAGTAATTAAAGTATAACAGGGATGTACAAGCTGAAAACCTACACCAAACAAGACTGGTAAATAAAGCATAGTGTGCAAGATTATTTTAGTGAAGATTTAAAAAAAAGGGACCAAGAAAGAGAATTATGTTGTTTATGTGTGTCTTGCAGTATCTTATAGCTGTCTTACTGTACACCTAGTTTGCTTTCAAGAGAAAGATTTAATGCATTTCTGGATTACAGAATATGTGAACAATATACCGTAGTGTCGTACTTTTGACTGATAAATATATAGAGCTTAAGCTTTACATTGCAGCATTATCAGATAGGAGGGTCTCATCATTAACATAATTACCACTACTAAGCTGCCTTTCAGGAAAGATTATCATACCTGGGAAGAATCTAAAAACCACAAATGTCTTATTTCATTAGGATTTACCTCCTAAGTATTTTCGTTAGGTGGTATCAACTCTTGAAACTTTTGTTGGTTCTTTTCGTTGGTTCTTCCCCTGTTCTCTCACAGATCTGTGAGTTATTTCATAGGTTTTTATTTCTTTACAAATGCATTTATGTACATTTATGAGTATAAGAAAAGAAGCTCCACAGAGTAAAAAGAGTAGAAATGAAAAGTGGCTTTTTCCCTCTATTCACAGATTGTAAAACAAAGTAATTAAAACAAAGTAAAACCCAGTAAAAAGTATGTGCAAGTTGATACTAGGGCAGGTTAGCACTAACATCCAAATAAAATCCTGTCTTGCCTTTGGGCTTTAGGATACATCCAGCCTGTAAACGCAAGTCAGGGGAGAACAGAGTGGATTTTGATACAAATTAATAATAGTTGTAAATAGCAAAGCAGGATTTTGTTTTCCAGAAAGACTTAAATATGTACTTTAGTCCTTATAGATTTATTCAAGATCAAACCAAAGATGAGGAGTTGTGCAGAGGAAGGCACACAGAAGACTGAAAGTATATCAAAAAGACAGATGGGTATACAATCATAAAGAAAGTAACATAGAAAAATAAGGAGAAACTACTCAAGGAAGAAGAAGCAGCAGCAAACAGATATAAAAAGCCAGATAAGGTAATCACTAATTTGAGTATAACTTAATAGGGGAAGGGAAAACAGTGGCAAGAAAGATAATTTTTATTAGCCATTATTTTTCTGGACTAAAAATAGTGCCCCAAACTGTTAGATTAACAACCTCACCTCCAGCTTTACTTTGGGGTATCCATCTGGGAATGATTCCTATTTCTGGGCTTAAGACCTCTCACCGAGAGATGAGTGGTGCTCCCAGACTTGAGACCTCTCTTCTGGAGATTAACCTTTTTCTACAACTGAACTTGTGTTGCGTTTACGACCCTATTTGTAAATATTGTGACCTTACTTGGAGTTGTGCAATTTCGGATCTGAAGGATAAAGGAGTGGCAGAGGACACTAGAAGCCAGAGAGGACGATGTTTCAGCCACCCAGATGAACAGGAATGCAAAATGTAGTTATTGGATAGGAAGTAAGGAATAGTTCTAGATGCTATCAAGGAGAAAAACATGACCATATTTGAATCCTTGATATTTGTTGTCCTAGTTCAAGGAAGGCTGAAATTAAACTGGATTGCTGTATTAATTTCAAAATTCAGGGTTTCTGTTGCTGAGTTGTGGAAGCCAAGAGATTTTTTTTTCCTTGCTTAATGCACAATTTATCTTCTGGACTTTTGTATTTTGCATTCTTCTTGGAAACACTAGATATTGAACACAGCTAGCCCGACAGGTGGACTAGTGCTGCTGTTAAATTCTTTCGGATGGCTGATGCATGTGTCCTGCTTAGAGTTAAAACAATCACCAGATTTGTAGTCAGGAGACATCAGATTGCTATAAATCAAACTGGAAAGACCACTGTGAGATATTGCCATTTCCCCTGCAACACAGGGAGAATATATAGGCAAAGTCTGAGCAGGAAGGAGCTCGCTTTCATTCATATTCACTTAAAGGTGACATTTAAATGTGATTATCCAAGATATAAGCTATCAATATCTAAAGGCCAAGCGAAAAATCCCTGTGAAGTTCTCAGAGACAGGAGAAAAAGAGTCTGTTTAAATAGATGCCAGACATGAAAGCAGAGAGATAAAAAGAAGAAGAGAACACAATTTCTCAAAACCTTGTAAGAATAAAAGATCAAGAAGGAAAGGGTAATCAAGACAATAAAAATCCCCCTCCTCCCCGTCGTCCCCCCCCCAAAAAAAAGCACCCAAAAAACCAAAACCAGCAGAAAGGTCAAGAAAGAAGATGGAATACAGACTCTGACATCAGGCAGGCAAGAATTCTTTAGGGATTGCATAAAAAAATATTTTGGCAAATAAAGAGGGATGACACCAGCTTGGAAGGGATCCAAGACGAAGTTGGAAGAGAAAGTACATCTGTTGTAGAATGGATGTTCAGTGAGTTTAGAGATAAAGAGTTTAGAGATAAAGGGGAGGAGAGTAACAGGGCAGACAGATGGGGATTAGTTCTCCTCCAGTCTTCACTGACATAAGCACTGTGGCCACTGTTGCTCTTCTGACACAGCATTCCTTTTTGCATCAGTCTGTAGAATCATTCCTGGACTGTAAAGCATAAATTCAGTTACACAGTGACATAAAAGGGAATTTTTACCTAATCCTTCTGTGATTTTTAATTTCCCCTCCAGAGGGCAATGCTTTCAATGAAAACATTTTGTCTTACCTTGGGCCTCAGCTTGAGTTAGAATTTTTTTTCTCTTTTCCATTGATTACAATCAGCCAGATTTAGATTGATCAACGGCTCTATCAGCACCTTGCTGGCAAATAGTGATGCTAATTCATGTCAAATTCAATTAATCAAAGATGAACTTTTTCTTTGTTAAAAAATATTTGTCTGTGGAATGAATGCATCAACCGTAAAAAGAAGGTTCTTCAAGTTGCCTAAATACATTGGTTCTGTATCTGCAAGCATGCTTTCATGTTCCCATAATCCCTGATAGTAAAATCATAGAAAAATCATGTCTAAAATCGAAATGTTCTAAGATCCAAGCTCACAAAAGGTATCACTTGGATATTTCTTTCCAGTTCCTTTCTGCTTAAAGATAACAACTGAAAACTTTGAACAAGAGATGGAACAGCAAGGTCTAGAGTACTTTGGTAATTTTCTCATTTCCTTTAAGAGCTGTCTTAGTAGATTCTGATATGAAAGATTAATCAGCTAAGACAAAACAAAGGAAGACTAAAAGCTTTGATCTTCCCAATCATCTTTCCATTGTCCTTCCTCATCCTCCCATTCACCTTCTTTCTCTGTATCTATTCTTTTTAATTTGCATGTTTTGTTAAATTCAAGCCAAAATGTTGATTTTCTCACAGCAATTTTTGTGTTCTCTGCATACCAACAGACAGCACCCACAAGGCAAAATGAACCATCAGACCTGTCCATTTAAATTGTTAACACAAATATTTAAAAAGGAAAGATTATCTGGGTCTTTACAAATAGTGCTGCTGAGCCTGTGCTCTATTGTGAACATTTTCAGGTATGACAACTTCTTGGCCTGACAGAATATTTTAATCTGTTGGATAGAATTAGCCAAGCATGCCTCATTCAAGCATCTTATGAATGGATTTGCCAGCTGGGCAAGGGCTAATATTAGGGTTTGTGAAAGCCAGAAGGAAGAGATTGGTTACCAAAGAAACAAACAGATCTTTAAGCAGATATATCCAAGAGATATCCCAAGCTCAGCCTTAACCTGGTCTGGTAACCCCTTCTGGCAAAAGATTAAAACTTCGGCTACAGATATAAGAGAGTAAAGGAAGGAAGCAGAAACTCTAGAACTGGTGTGAATCCTTCTCTGCTCTACAACAAATTGCACAACATATTGAAGAAAATTCCATTATCCTGGTTTAAAAACTGGCTACAGGGCAACATGCAAACCGGCACCAATGAGATTTTCTCTGAGAGGAAGGAGAAATGCTGTCAGTTGAGGGAAACTGCAACCAGAACCTGTGTGTGTGTGTCTGATCATCCCATCCTCAGATGTAGAAAAGACAGTAAACTAGCGATCAGTTTGGATGAGGATGACAACACTGAAGAGCCAACTGGTGAATCTAGCTACTTTTTGCAGCCATTATATCTTCTAGGTAAGTATCATATTTTGAAAAAGTCCCTTCTGACTCTCAAGTCCTTTGCCAAAGTGGTCTGTAAAAAAAGATTCGTGCGAACTTTCACCATTTTCATATGAAGGTGAAAAGAACCATGCTTGGTGCTGCTCAGCCACCAATTACCAGTGTCATGTTTTCCCTCCATTTTTATTTCCCAAGTAAATAATTCTGCAGTCCACCGATATTTGTATTTCTTGCAGTGCTGCAGTTTTGCAGTGATACAGAGACCCTTGTTAATGGCCAGAACAGAAATAGCTGGTTAAGTGGTTACAAGGCATTGCTGCCCTGAAAACAGCAAACAGACAACCTGGGGAGTTTGAGCCATGGTGTGAAAAGGTAGAATGCTTTCAGAGTTTCCTCTGCAGTTTGCTGGGCAGGATGTTCGTTAGTGTCAGGTCATCTGGCCTTTTCACACGGTAAGAAAAGAAAACCATGGGATCTGGTTTGTGGACTCAGAAAATTGGACTGCATGTCTACCTTTAGAACGGATCCAAAGAAAACATGGTATATGGTAAAATTACAGGAAGTTGAAAGTCTGTACCCGGATTTCACTATGGAGAATGATACAGAGTTAGATGACACAGATTTATAAGTGGTTAAATGGAAGCAAGGAGAGATGGACTAAAGCAGGTATCTCTTTAGGCCTTTTCAGTGATCTAAGAAAGCCTTTTTCTGGTCTTGTTAGTGGAACATTTTTTCTAATGCCTCAGGCAATGATCTAGACAGGCTAGCCTGAAAAACCAGGGATGGGAATGCAGGTTTTAGCTCAAAGTCAAACTAAACTGCAGCGCTAAAGATTATGCCTCCCTGGTCCTGTAAAACATAGCCATGGATACAAACAACCTGGTAAAACTACTTTTAATGCTCTGTTTGCTTCATTCTTCCAGACACCGTGTCCTGGGCACCTTCTGTGCCTCAGCCTCCCTCCGCTCTCCCAAAGACGGGCTCTCAGATGAGAGTGAACATTTTCTGTCCCACAACAGGCCCCAGCCTGGCTGGGGCTTTCAAGATGGGGTTGCGGCTTCAGCAGCAGTACAAGGAGAAGGGGGGGGATGATGAGGCGGGTGGAGGAGAAGGGGGCTGCACTGGCATGGAGCGCCCAGGGTACACGCCAGCCTCGGCAGGCAGCAGAAGAGTGGGGAAGAGGAGGCAGCTGGAGGTGGGAGAGGAGGAAGGAGCAGGCCGCAGCCCGGACAGGCAAGGCAGCTCTGCTCAGGGCACAGGGGCTCCGGCGGCGGTGCCTCTCCGGGTGCAGAGAGAGCCGTGGCAGAGCGACGGGACACGCCTGCGGGAGGACGAGCCACGGGCACAGCGGCAGGCCGGCCGCGGC